CAACTAGCTAAACTTGCATACAACTTAAATGAAAGAGTTGAAAGTGGAAATGGGGAAGATTACAAGTAATTTGAGGCTTACAATACTAAAAAATGGAGAAGAAATATGAATACCCATCTTTCTCTCTCTAACTTTATCTTCTTCCTTGAGCTTTGTATCTCTAAAACTAATCCTAAGCTTAGGTAGCCTCCCCTCCCTCCAAAGCTTGTGTGAAGCTGAATATATGGTGTAAGAACTCTGCATTTTCGTACATAGGGCTCCTCTAGTATGTGTGTGTAGGCCTCCCATCAATATGAGGTGAGTTGATGGCTTTGGACAGGTTAAGACAAGCCTAGCCTACAACCCACCATGCCTCTTCCTGCTCTCTCTTCATTTCCCATCCTTCATCATCAAAATTCAGCAACTAGGGTCTTGTAGGCATGGTTGTATGTAGACAATGTCAAGAAATGTGTGGGAGAAGCAATGGTAGGCCCCCCAAGCAAGTGAAGGATGAGTTACAGAATCTGACGTTTTTCACTACCAGTAGGTTGGAAAAACCTGCTGGTCAATTTTTGGTAGGTTATTGTCCAGTAGGCAAAACTTACCGTTAGGTTTTGGTTTCCTTCTACCGGTAGGTCATAAATGGGAATCTAGCTCAGGACCAATTTTTGTAAATTTATCATAAGTTTTGATCCAACCATTCGATTGAGCTAAAATTTTGAAACAATACAGAGGACATCCAGATCTACAACTTTTATGTTTTTTACTTTTTCAGATTTGAAGTGGATCATGGAAACCAATGGGGAATACAGCCAAAGCAACGTAGGCAACCACCTATGTGTGGGACATGATTTTGATTTATTTATTGGTTTTTTTTATTTCCCTTGAATTGTACAAAGTTTTGATTTTTTAAATACATTGTCACATACACAATCATTTTTTTCTATTACATTCTTCAATCAAGTTGGTACATACATAATCAATATTGTACACAACACATTTAACTCAGTTCAACATTACACGTACATTACACTTCACATGTAAATCTCAACACAACAATAACATGATCTGAAGACAACAAAACTAACATACAGCTTCTTCACGCAATAGTAACATAACATTTCTACACAAAAAAAACTAACATATAACAAGATATTCCCACAACCCTAGCATAACACTTGTCCACACAACACAACACTAACTTAACACTTGTCCACACAATACTGACATAATAGTTCAACACACAACAATAACATCATAGTTATCCACACAACATTAACGTAACATGTGTCCACACAACACAAAGATGTGGTCTTATCCATACAACATGTTTCATGGGTCAACATCTTCGCCGGACTTATCAACATCAGAAATACATTCAACTTTTCCACTTAGAAGGAAACTTATACGTGTTTTTTCCATTAACCCTTCTTCAACACGTGCTCATGTGATGCGATGAAGGTTGTAACGATTTAGACGGATTTCCATGTGATTGTTCTCAGCTCCAAAACGATACAATGCTCGCTCTAGTTGTTGTGGTGTCTCAACTGACATATGGATGGAAATTGGTTGAGGCCTTTGTAAATTGAAAGTTTGCAAATCTCTAATAAGATTTTCTCGCTTCGTCAAACGATATTGCAATTTGGTCCTCATGGTTCTTATGACCCTGCTTGAAAAACGTCAACGAGGATTCATTGGATAGAAGAACTCATATTCTAAGGCCCAATGATAACCTATATTTTCATATAAAGTTCTCACACTATAATTCATGTTGGAAATGAGTTTTCTTCACTTAGTTGCTTACAGACGATGAATATATAGTACTTAAAAATTAAGGTTTCGATGGACATATCAATTCACTGTGAAAGGACTGAAACTTCATTTAGCAATACACTGATTGTTTTCCTATTACACAAAAATTGACAACCCACTTACTCAATGAATTTGCTGATAAAATGAAAAAAACCTGTAAATGCACTTGAAGAGATGTGTTGTATTGAATACATAAATCTCCTAACAACTGACCATATCAATACTAACTTTGTCTTGAAGTGACAAGTAACTGCTCTATCATAATGTTGAAGAAAAAAAAATGACTACTTGTGACTACTTAATGTCATGTGTTGAAGGGACTAAATCTTGAATGGGTGTCAACATATAATGTGCTGAAATGACTAAACCTTGAATGAGTTTCAACATAACATGTGCTGAACTGACTTAAACCTAAATGAGTTTCAGCATACCATGTGTTGAAGTAACAACACACATTTGATAAGGGCAAATACTGAAATGACCTTACACTAGTCTGATGAATAATTATACCATAAATGACCTCTGATCACTACACTGTCTTACTATTGACTATTGTGATCGGTCTAACACACTAGGATTGAGACATTACTAGTTAAACACCTTATTTGTGGTTGATATGATAAATACAACATTATGTCTACATCAAATTTCTCTACGAGATTTAACAATCGCAGACGTGAACGAGTTTGGTTGTTACAAGAGCGAAACGATGATTACAAGAATGAGAGATTTTCTGATCCAAAAGAGTATTATGCAGGAGCATGACAAGAGTGGGCTTTTTGTGCTAATGAATCAAACGAACTATTCACACAACTAAGAGAACTTGACATACCAGTGCCTCGTAGACAATCACTAACAATGCAATGCCGGAATAGAAAGGACTAAGAATCGACAGGAAAACAAGTTCAAAGAGAGAATAATATAATGTTGGTTCATAGGTCTCACTATTATATGCTCCAACAAGCAAAAGACGTGATGAGAACTGCACATGGACGAGAGTTGACACCAGTTGTGCAAAACAATATATAGTCTAATGCACAATACCAATCAGATGATTATATGTCTGATGAAGCTTAACAAAGTTTTCAATTGTTCATTTCTCAGATAACAAGCTTGTCTAACCAGTGTAGTGTCAAGTCATGTCAGTCCTTTGTATTTGAATTGTTATGTTTTTACTTTTTTGTTGTGAACTCATTTCATTGCTTTAACAATGTAGTCAGTGTAGTGTCAAGTCATATCAATCCTTTTGTCATTCATTCATGAGTTATGTTATTACTTTATCACTGTGAAGTCATATCATTACTTTATTTGTGTTACATCATGTTAGTCGTACCTAGTAATTGTCTTGTCAAATTTATATATAATTGCATTTCGTGTCTACATAAACCATCCTTATTAATTGTGTACATCATAACCCAAAAAATGTCTAGACGCACATTTAAGAGGCAATCCAGTCAAACCACCCAAGGTTCTTCATCACGCAATGAACAACAAAATTCATCTTCACCCAACGAACGTCAACGCTCGACTAGCCGAGCCGCATCATCGAATGTAGTTCGTTTAATTGAATCCTACACAGATTCTACTGGTGTAACTTGATATGGACAAAAGTGTGAGTTTCGTAATGAGTCCATTGACCCTTATCACTCATTCGATCAAGTTGGACATGTATTTGTTGGGCCTTCGACCGATTATCCACCTCTGAGTGTTCATATTGAACCCACGTCAAGATGGCGACAGTTATATGACAAACGTTGTAAGTTTGAAGTATACTGTCGTTAGCATGGATTAATGGTACCGAAGACACGTTCGACTGATATACATGATCCACAAAACTCTACTAATCATAACAAGACTTGAACGTGAAAATGATCAGATGCAGCGTAGACTTGATCATTTGCATGCAATCGAGCATGCAAAAATTGAGCACTTCGATCCTGATTATACTGAGATTCAAATTTTACAGGATCTGTTACTTATTTAGGTACAAAACTTTTTGATTATTCCGATTTAAGTGATGATGTGTCTGACACTTTTATTCCATCGATTTTATGTGTAATTGACAACCCTTTATGTTGTTTTCTACATCAACAACAATATTGATAGACTGTATTTCTTACAGTGTCATGTAATAATATTTTTTGTTTTAATGTATATGTATTTTTTTTTCCATATTTTGAAGTTTTGCACACTAATATAGGTCAACTCAAAATGTTCGATGAACTTATAACATAAAATTTGAATACATAATTTTTTAACATATAAAATTATAATTTTCTCAAAATTAGTCACAAAATTCATGTAGTACACATACAAACAAAATTTTAAGCATTTTTTAGGGAATGTACTGCACTGAATTAATTAACTTTTTTTAATTTATAACTTGATTTTTTAGTAACTTTCAAAGTTTATTAATTTCTGTGTGAAACATGTTTTAATAATTTATTTTTTAGTTAAAACAAAACAATACTAAACAAAAAATTAATATCATCAAAATAATTAACAACACACGTCGGTTGCGTTATTAAAAAACATAGTGGATTTTTTATGGTTCGTAGTTTCATATTTTTTGGTTTTATAAGAATTTTATTTACTTTATATTTTTTAGGATTTAGTGTTTTTTTTTATTAATTTTTTGGACATCTAAAAACGTCACTTAACATGTCGTCTTTAAAAATGTCATTTTAAGTGACGTTTTCTAGCAATTAGCTTTTTAACAGCTGTTATGTTTCCTGTTCAATTTCACTTTGCTTAACATCATTCCTACTGACGCTTTTAAAAACAGTATTAGGAATGACGTTTTCAATAAAAAAAAATTCAATCAAATCGTCATTCTAAATGACGTTTTTAAGTGAGGTGTCTTTTGAAATAACGTTTTTAAAAAAATACTGGGATTAGAAAATAAGTTTAAAAATGACTAGGTTGGAGAATAAAGATTTCAGGGTGCTGTGTTTGGGAAAAAACTCTATTTTCTTCACTTACCCAAAAAGCCAATTCATATTTTCTCCCTTTATTACCTGTTTTGAACTATTGATTTCACTGTGGATCCCAGTATTTATTAAGTTTAATTTTTAACTTCATCTAGCATTACTCTTTATATTATTGTTTGTTTCTTATCTGCACACTACACCTTGGACGAAAAAAAGACCATAATTATACAAGGGCATCATAGATATCCTTTCTTCGCGATTCACATGCTTACGAAATTCTCAATTCTGCACATTTTTTCAAAGCAACCAGAATAAATGATTTAGTCTTAAGGAGGAAACCAAATCATCATGTGCTCAGTGTTTATAATATGCCAGTCACAAATTACAACCCACTGCCGAAGAGCCACCATAAGTATATTAGAGAAACACTGGCATAGTGCTCAAGTAGATCCCCAGAACCAGAAACTATCCAGAGAAATATCTGTAGACTGCAAGATGAACAAAATCATGTCTATTAATCTGGAAATGAATTCGAAGACTGAAACCATTTGGGGCTTCAGCATATCAAATGGTCAAAGCGAGTGGAATCTCCCTCGTGGTTTACTGAGGTAGCTATCCAATTCCTTTGGAAATCCTCTCAGACATATCAGAAACAAGCGCATACTTCTTGTTATCATAACATGCAGTCAAGAATGCTTCAAGAATCACACGATCCAAATTCTGGTCTTCATCTAACAATTTATGTAAAAATAATGCTGCCATGTCCACTTCACTCTCACTACAAAGCTTTCTGATTAAGCTATTAACTGTTCGGATCCATAGCTTTTTGTCTAATCTGTCCAAGACAACCATGGCGGTCGATGGTTCATCCTTCTTGCAATACTCATAAGCAATTGTCAGCCGAGTGACTTCACATGGGGAAAGTCCCTTGTCCATCATGGTATCATAGAGTGCTCTAGCATCATCCAACTTGGACTCTTTGCAAAGTCCACTTATCAGGGCACCATATGTAAGACTATCAGGTGCACAACCCTGTTCGCTCATCCTCTGGAAAAACTTCACAGCCATGCTGGCATTTCCATCTCTACAGTACCCACATATCATGGACGTATACGTTTCCCTGGTTGGAACCAATCCAATCCTGACGGTGTCATTAAAAATCCTCTCGCTTTCTTTGATCCTTTTCTGCCGACAAAAGGCGGCAATCAAGGTGGTATACGAATATATATCAGGTGTCATGCCAAGTTTGACCATCTTATTGAAAAAACCCAAAGCTTGCCTAGTATCCTCTTGTTTGCAGCTCTCTGATATGAGAATGGTATATGTAACTCCATCAGCATACAGCCCACCTTTCAAGCCCCATTTGAGCAGCTTATAAGCCTCTTGAGCCCTTCCCTTCTTAGTGAGACCATCAATAATTGCATTCAATGTACAAATATTGGGTGTAAAACCTTCTTTACTCATGGTATCCATCAATTCAAACGCACGATTGAAGTTCCCCACTTTACAATGGCCATCAATGAGCATAGTGTAGGTGTTGGCATTAGGAACCAATTCCTGTTCATGCATTCTGGTCAACAACATCTCTGCTCGATTCAATTTTTCTTCTTTGCAGTAACCAGTGATCATGGCAGTGTACGTATGCACATTTGGTTTGTAAGCATCACTCCTAACGAGTTTAAGGAAAAGTCTAAATGCCTTTTCAGTCCATCCCTTCTTACAAAGACCATCAATCAATGCTGTATGAGTATACACATTCGGTTTCCAACCTTTCTTAACCATTTCTTCCAAGAATTCAAATGCCTGTTTGATGCTACCCCTCCTGCACAACCCGTTTATCAAGCAGGTGAAATTTATCACATTTGGTGTGAAACCCATCTCCATCATCTTGTTTAAAAGCCATAATGCTCTATTCTCACATCTTTTTTCACAAAGCACACTAATGATCAAAGTACATGTTGCATTGTCAACAAGAAAGCCTCCTTCCAACATTGAGCTCAACCATCTATTCACCTCCGAAACTCTGCCCATTCTACAAAAACCAACAATCATTAATTTAAAACTGAAAGAATCGGGACATACTCCTCTTTCACACATTTCATCAAACACACTCTCTGCAAGTTCAACCAAACCCATTTCGGTAGCCACCCTGAGAATACAGTTGAAAGTCCAAGTGCTTGGAAACAAGCCTTGGCTTTGCATTGCAATAACCATATTCACAGCCTCACTCAACTTTCCAATCTCAGCGAAGTTCTTCACCATACACTGCATTAGTTCATGGGCTTTTTCTAAATTCCCATTCTGAATCAAGGACTTGGCCAAAACTATATATAACCGCATAAAATGCCTGAATTTGACATACTCAATTGCCCAATAAAAGAAACTCAAAGCCACCATCGAACCCGCTTCACTGGCAAGTGAAGCAACAACTGTGATGGCCTGCTCTGGGCTCAAAAGCTCAGAATCAATCGAAAGGTTCAGCTTGGGAGGTCTTGATCTGAAATGGGTATGTTGATGATAATAAGATTGACAGACCAAAGCACATACTGTTCGGACAACTGAGTGGGTTGGCGAAGAAGAAGATAAACTGTGGTCTGACGGAGAGCCTTGAAAATCATTGTGAGTGAAACAGAAATGTCTGAGGGTGAAGAGTGACTGCTGGTGAATGAGCAAGGGACCATTTAGCGATGCACCCAGTATTTGTAGTTGCTGTTGTTTCAGGTGGAATCGGCTACGGTGAAGAACCAAAAGAAGAGGCACCATGAAGAAAGTTTGTTAAAAAAGGTTGGCATGGGCCGAAAAAGACTTAGTTGGTGAGGGTTTTCGAAGAGGACTCGAAAATTGCCTACATCTTCTTCTTAAGATTATCCAAACAACAAACAATTCCTCAAGTATGACCACTAACACGGCCCTTTCCTTCACACTTCTTTTATCTGCGTCAGATTCCCCAATCGTGATACCTCCGTCAGCGGGACGTCTATTGTATAACAATGCAAGCACGCCACGCCGCCTTCAAAATTCAAATCCGTTATTTCAAATTTTTTCCTCAAATCAAACAAATTTCTTATTCTTCTTATGCATCTCTCTCGCACTCAATTCACACAAAAAAATATCAATTTTTTATAATATTTTCTTTTGTATCTCACAAAAATATTAGATAGTATCTGATTCAACCAAATATTACATCTCTATAGATAGATAGTATATATCACAACGAGATAATATATTACAAAAATATATTACGAAAATAATCTTTTTTATCTCTCTCTGAAGAAAAATTATTTAATAAATATTAGATAGATAGTATATATCACCAAAATATTCTTTTATATCTCTCTTTTTCATTCAAGCAATATTACAAATACGAATCATACAAATTCAATAGTCAATTTTATTTTTTTCATAATAAATAAATAAAAGCATAACTTGCAAAAAAATCCAATTTAACAAGAAAAATATGCTGAACATGTAAAATATATAAGATTAAATTTAAGTTATTGGACAACTTAGATACCAAGAAATATATTAAAGAAAATATATTTAACAATTAAAATATACAAGATTAAATTCATATACAAACACGAATGATACAAATTCAATATTTAATGCACAACACAAAGTAGCAATATTTGCTAAATAATCTAAATCTAAATACCCGAGAAAAATTATACAAAATTAAAAACAAGAGAAAAGATACAAAATTATAAATAATACTATGAATACGAATCATACAAATTTAATATTTAGTGAACAACACGAAATAACAATCTTTACTAAATAATCTAATAGTAAATAACGTTTAATTTAAAAAAATATACTTAAAATATAAATAACTGAGAAAAATGATATAAAATTAAAAGTATTATTATAAACTCGAATCATACAAATTCAATAGTCAATTTTATTTTTTCTATAATCAATAAAAAAAGCATAACTTGGAAAAAATTTAATTTAACAAAGAAAATATTCTTAACATGTAAAATATACAAGATTAAATTCAAGTTATTGGACAACTCAGATATCAAAAGATATATTAAAGAAAATATGCTTAACATTTAAAATATACAAGATTAAATTCATATACAAACACGAATAATAAAAATTTAATATTTAGTGAATAACACAAAGTAACAATATTTACTAAATAATCCAAATCTATATACCCGATAAAAATGATACAAATTACACCCGAGAGAAACGATACAAAATTATAGGCAATACTATGAATACGAATTATACAAATTCAATATTTAGTGAATAACACGAAGAAACAATTTTTACTAAATAATCTAATACTAAATAACGTTTAAAAGCACTACTATAAACTCAAATCATACAAATTCAATAGTCAGGTCATATCTTTTGGAAGTTGGTTGAATTTCTGATAGTTATGTTTGGTCATGTGACAATATTTGCAGACTTAGTTTATTTATGAGAGTATTATTTTAATTTTCATTCTATTAGTTATGAATTCTGCTATTATTTAAATAAAGTTGATTATGAATGTTAAAATCGTAGATTTTGAATCAAAAATAGAACATTAAATATTGTCAACTGATATATTTTTAAGATGTTTGAATTATTATGTTTCGGTAGTTATAACATAATTTTCGTGGTGTAACAATTTAATGTAGAAATATATGCTATGCATGTAGGTTGATGTTATAAAAAATATTAGCGGATTCATTTTATTTGTCATTTACTATAATGTTGTATTTTATTTTACATTTATGTATGGGCAATATTTGTAACTAATTTACGAGTAACACTGTGCCTTCAGACACGAGGAATTACTAGTCTCTAAAATTGGCCTAAACTCAAATTCAAATTCAAATTCAAATTCAAATTCAAATGTTTATTTAAACTCAAACTCAATTTAAATTTGAGTAAAAATATATATAAAAAACTTGATTTGATATAAGAAATTCCAATGAACAAACTCAAATTAAAAAAAAGGGAACCTCTAATTTAAAGAAACGTGAAATATGACAATTGAATCTTTTAAAAAAGTAAAATCTAACTATTGAAAATTTGAGTAAAATTTTGAGTTTGCCTTCATTTGAATAAAAGTTTGAGTCTCTTTCTTTTAGTATAGGTTTGAGTCAAGGACTGAAACTTGTTTTTATGCTATTTTTACTCAAATTTAAATTTGAGTACGAGTTTGAGATGGCGAAAGAGCAACTCCAAACCAACTCTCCATTTTAACTACTTAAAATATATTTAAATATTACACTCACTTTTTTAAAAAATTATTTTTACAAGTTGACTCCGACCATCCTCTCTATTTTAACTAACTACTTCAAGTAACTTAAACTAATTTTCAATAATTTAAATTGAAAATACCATGTAGCCTACTATGTCATCGCCATATTTTTTATGGTCATATTTAAACCAAAAATTTAAGAATAAAAAATGTGAAAAGCAAAAGAGGAAGAAAGAGGAAGAGCCAAAATAGAATAAAAAATTTAAGAGGAAGTTGGTTGAACTGTGAGAGAGAGAGAGAGAGAGAGAGAGAGAGAGAGAGAGAGAAGTGAATAAAGGCATGGAGGGAGAGTGAGGGAGAGGGGGAGGGGGAGGGGGAGGTGGAGGTTTGGCAAACCAAAATGGCTCTCCAAATTTGGAGATTCATTTTGGTGAAATGAGAAATTGAGAGTGGGTTGGAGAAGATTTTTTTATGATAGGCTAGGTAAAATAGCTAACAAAATGGCTTTTGGAGAGTAGGTTGGAGTTGCTATAAGTAAACAATCCTTTCAAAATGTCAATATTGGCCTTATGGACCTAATTTCAATTGTAATAGAAACAATGATGATTGTAGTTGATAATTGTTGATGTAAAATTTACCATAATCTCCACTTGTCAACCTCCAAATCAATTTTTCTGGGTTCCACGTCTAGTTTTTGATGGTTCAGGTCAAATTTTCGATAGTCGAAGTGAGCTTTCTAAAATTTGGGGATCTTGCAAAGAGATCGATCACCAGAGAGGAAGCTCCAGGGGTCAACCCTCCGATGCTTAAGTTAAGAATGTGGTAAAAATTGGAGTTATATTTAGAAACATAGTTGCATACCTTTCAGGTTTTTCCTTGGCTCCTTTTTATAGTTTTGAGAATTAGTTTCCTTAACAGAGTAGACTCTAGGCTCCCTTATTTGTTGTTTGGGAGATCAGATGCCTTCTGCTTGAGGAGTCTGACTCTCTTGAGTGTCTCTTGAGGTTGGCGCGACTTCGTTCACTAGAGGAGTATTTTTCTCCCTCATCAGCTATTAAGGAGGTTCAAACACCTTTCAGATGAAGGGTCTTAACCTCTTTCCCTCCAAATGGAGACCAAATTCAGCTAAGGAGTATTTTGATTTTTGAATCGTAAATAGCCTTATGTTTTAGCCTTTATTCATAAGTCAGTCGTATAGGGCAGAGCTGATTACTAGAATTGGCGTAGCTTAGAGCTTTCCCCATCTAGACTGAAGCTCGATAGGTGTGCCAACAATAGCTTTTTAATAGGCTTCTTACATTAGAGCTTTCCTAATGGGGTTACTAATTTTTTTTGCCACTTCAGTTAGCCTTAATTAGGTCTGAGCTAAGGCTCCAATTGTTGTTTGTCTGTTAACTCCTTAAAAATAGAAATGACCAATGTGGGAATATCTCATTAGTTTAAATAAGGTAGTTTGTGTGACTGCCATTCCTCAACTATTTAAACTTCTCAAAGCTCTGCTTCACAGAACTATTTTGACCTTGAAATTGCTTTCCTAATCTTGCAATATTGTTCTCAATCTTCTTTAGCGATCTTGAAATTTTCCCTCTGGCATACTTCGGCTGGGTTCTTCCTTTTCAGTTTGTTGTTTTAATATATTTTGCTTTGTTGAAACAAAATCCTTTGTGAATAATTTAGGGCTTTTCTTGAATTCCCAATTAGCTAAACGTCTCGCAAGAATTTGATTTGTACTCAAGCTTCTTTTGATTCTCAAATCGTTTGTTTCCTCTTCCATTATATTATCAGTTAATAGCTACTTTCCTTCAATGGCTTCCAAAGTAACCATTTCTTTTCTTTCCTTGCCTCTAGTTCACGAGATAGACCTTGTGAAGGAAGACCCAAAGCTTTCCTTAGAGGATCCGTCTATAGAGAAATCTTCTCAATAATAATATTATGCCTAGGAAGTTTGTGCATTACGGAGATGGCTTGAGAAACTTAAGGCTCAGTTCTCTATTACTGATTCTGTCAGGTTGAGAGTTCCTACGAATGACGAAACATCTTTGGGCTCAGATTCCCTATTCATCCTTATTCATAATTTTTTCTCATTTTCTTAACATTGCTCCTGTCGAGCTTACCCCTAATATGTAAAACCCAGGAAAATTTGAATTTTTGTGAAAAAGGGTAATACGGTAATTAGCCGCTATAGTACGGTTGAAAACCTAATTTTTTTAGAACTCGGATGATGAAATGAACCTCACCATTGGATTTGTCTCACAAAATCTAGTTACCTAATCAATTTTTGTTGAATTTTGAGACAGTCGAATTTTTTGGGTTTTACAACGTGATCGGGTGTCACATGACCAAAATAAACGTGATTGTGAAATAAATTGCAAAACATGAAAAATAATTTAAATTTGGTCCAAATAAAAATACATTTAACTTAAAATAGGACAAAATTTAATTAATTCAGGACGAAATCAGACCTGAAAAAGGCGGACATATGGCGCAACGAGGGCCAAGTATCCAAGGGGTATAAAAAAGGGGAAAAATTAGATTTTTCCTCCATTGTTGGCTGCTGGGCTTTCCGAAAAAAAGAAGGGAAGAGAAGAGAGGGAAAGATGGGTTTTCTTCAGGTTTCTCTCTACGATCTAGGGCCAACCTTTGGTCGAAATCCTTCGAGTCAAGAACCAAAGTTCATCTACTCGACGAGGGTTATGTCTACGTCCCAAAAATCGTGGTTT